TCTCTGGAAATAACACCCAGACTTCAGCTTAACATATTAAATGATAATCTCTACTTCATTGAATAAGACATGTTCGGGTATTAAAAGGGCCACTGTTTTCTTCCCATCTAGCATCCAACAGAGGTGGGAGCTGATCTGAAGTGTTAAAAAACTGAATATTTTTAAACTTGACGGTCTTCAGGCCGACTGCAGCTTTTAATTGATGCTAATTGCTGGCATTGTCCCCAACGTGTGCCGACAAGAACAATTTTAAAATCTCACTTTATGAACCAGGAAAAATCTGACCCAAACAACCTGAATGTTACAACTAAACTTTTTGATCTGTCTGTACAAACTGTATTTTGTGTTTCCCGTTCTGAGAGAAGTGATGAAGTGTCTCATAAAGCAGCTGCTGTGTATCTCCTCTGAGCTGGGAACAGAGCTGGACAGAAGGTTAATGGGATGAGGAGGATTATTTTTACTTTTTGGACCCGTTATTCTTACTTAGAATAGGTGGAAGACGATGGATTTTACAGATGGATTTTTCACTTAGATGAGATGTTTCTGACCTGAATGGGTCTACAGCTGCAAGCGGCTAATTTTTCCTCGACAGTCTGAACGGACAAATCTGATCTTTCCACCCCCAAAAAATCTGATTCGAACTAAATCGGACATCTGATTTTTATTCAAAGCGTCTTCAGTTTGAACGGTCATGTCGTATTTTATCCAACATGCATCGTAATTCATAATAATTCTGCACCAGAAGAAGACAGACGACGTAAACAATGACTGAAAATCATGATTCTGAAACTATGAAAGCAGTTTGTGTCAAAAAGAACCAGTCTTGGTTCTGACTTCACATCCAAGCAGACTTCAGTCAAAGCTCCACAAACAGCCATTGCTAATAGTTTATCAGCTTCTTTTGTCTTGTTACAGTCTAGTGATGATCCTGTTGGCTTCCACTGTTGAATAAACTTATCCATAAACAGCTCAATTCTTTATTACTGCTGTCATCAGACCGCTGAAGTGTGCCATCTACGTTCTTCTTCTGCGCTTTAAGGTTGTAAACACAGAAGTTTGATAGCAGTCACGTTTAATTAGTAAAATGAAGGACTGAACAAAAGAAAAAAAATATTTTAGTCATTGCTAAGTCGTAGCCTTAGCAACAACTGTCTCCACAGAAGAATTGTAGTTTTTCCTGTGGTAACTTTAATGTGGCATTTGCGGCTTTCACTGCAGTCTGCTGTTCAGATCCCTGATCACGAAGGCTCAGCTCAGATTTTAAACAAACTGAGAAGTTCNGTAAATAATAAAGTAGCTTGATATTATTTTAGGATTATTAATAAATTATTTAAGGAGAGAATAACTGAAAAAGTGCCTTAAATTAGCAAATATTATTATGTAATTTAATTGAAAGAAAATGAGCTCTCAAGGAAACAATCTTGTTCCTGATATATTATCAGTTTGATAAATTATCAGCCACATTACAAGAATGCTGGAGACTTGAGACTCTGAATACGAATTAATGTCAATTTGTGTGTGTGTGTGTGCGTGTGTGTGCGCAGTGTTGTCCTCTTGTTACCCACAAATCTCATCATTTACATTTATAACATAATTAAGTCATAAACGAGGAAATTACTGGCACAGTAATTGGCTGAACGAGGCCGCCCACCTGCCCCATCTCCTCTCTTCCTTCCTCCGTCTCTTTTCTGTCACATCATGTTCGTGTCGCCGTCTCATTATTGAGACGCCACATGAAGGATTTTAGGCCCAGAACTGGTCACATTTGCTCTTTAGATGACAGAAACTGAAGGAGGTTAGTCTCTAATCCATCCGATTCGCTGGAACAAGGCCAGAGGTCTGCAGCTGCTTCCGTCTGCAGGCTCAATAAATCAACCAGGATTGATCTGATCAACATCTCAACGATTCCTAATTATCACACAAGGATTCTGGAAGCTAAATTATCATCCTCTACTTTGCTATCACTGCTTCAGACATACTCTGGCTTTGTTTAAATAAAAATGTGAAATCTAAATAGATTTAGTAAACAAAACGGCAGGAGTTATGTAAAATTTTACTGCGTTAATGTTGTCATTTTAGTTTCCATAAAAATGTGATCCTGTCTGTCACTTTGTTTCAGCTAAAATCACATGTTCTGCCTGTAAAACTGGGTTTTCTTCTGGACTTTTTAAAACTGTCTTGCTGAGTGAAATTCACACCTGAATTTAACCAAATAATTTGAAGCTGTGGTTCTCTTTCAAACCAACCAAACCCTTTAACAAACCTGTTCCCCTCCTCGCCTGTGGGGGCGCTGCACCAAGAACCACTGAAGGAAATGGCGTAAAAATGTCTGAATACGACACTGAGCGCAACTTACGTCTTCACAAAATGTAAACAAAAATGGAGCGGCGTCAGATTTTAGCGGTTGTAGGATTTCGCTTTTGTCTTTTGTAAAAGACAACGAGCCATTTCTCCTGCTAAAGGTAACATTGTATTTGTTCTAGTTTTATTTACCCAGAATGCCTTGTGCTGGAGTCAATTTCTTATTTTGGAAAAGTCCATTTCAACTGAATCGAGACCGAGGTTTGTAGATGGACAGGGTTCGCTTTGTTTAGACCAATTACAGATTCACACCTCACCAAACGAACCAAACTTTAAACAGACTGGAGTTTATTAAAGTGGATTAGACAACTTAAATGTCCGTAGGCTGTCTATTTACGTGTCTAAAAAAAGGGTAACAGTGGAGCTGCTTGAAAGGAAAATGGAAAAACATTTAGTTTGTTTTCATTATCACTTCAGCAGCTAAAAGCAGCAGGTTTCTAACCGTCCTGCTAATACACCTTTGGATTTCCATTGAGAAAGAAGAAAATCAAGTTTGAACCACTGGAGGGACAGCTGCAGCAGGAGCTACGTGCTACAAACAAAATCTCTGAGAAATGAGCTCTGAAATCATGTGGAGTAATCCTCATCACAGCCAACATCTGTGTGGAGGTTTTACAGATCACTGGTGGAGCCAAAGCAGCTTTAGTTGGATAGAAAGACTTTCAGGGAAGGATGTAGTACCTTTCAGAACAAGTGAAAAGCATTCTGGGAAACCAACACTGTCAGAACAAACGTGTATAAATGCTGCTATGTTCGGGGGTAACAGAGGCTGCAGTGCAAAGAGTCGGGCTTTGATGAAAGTTATGTTTTATGATCAAACAGAGGAATGTTCTGAACTCCAACCAGGCTAATCAGCTAATGACCTCCCAACACAGGGAAGGCGATCTATTTCCTTTAATCACCTGCTGGTAAAGGTGACCTATTATACTTCCTTGAGCAGGTTAGCATAAGGTGATAAAAAACATGTTCATTATATTAAAATCATATTTAGATGATGACATTTAGTCAGCTCAGTTCTGTCTATTTTGGCCTCCTGCCACTTTAAACCCAAATAAGCTGTTGCTGGCCACGCCCCCCAACCAACGTTTATACTAGCAGGTGAAAATAGCTGCAAACAGATGAGCAATTATACAACCATGCATATTTAAAAAGCATTAGTAGTGCCTCCTGCACAGCCAACTAGAATGTAGGAAGTGGTTTCTGGATGGTACGTCAACATCAACAAATTTGTCTTTTCCAGCAGCCATTGTACAGGGCATACAGCGGTAAAACCAGCTGAGGACTCATATTTGCTGGGGAACTCTGCTGGGGTTGCCAGGTAATGGCACAGTGTGACTTAACAACTGGAAGTATTTGAAACAGCTAATTTTCCAGACACCAAAAATGATTAACTTATCGCCAGAAACCGACTGGATTTTTTTTTTTTTTTTTTTTGTATGCTTGGACGGTTTCTAGAAGCAGTAGAAACCAAAACGAAAATATAAAAATATAGAATGTCCCCTTTAAATATTTTTCAACCTGAAAGGAAACCTGGATTCATCTCCACTGCTCCGAGGGCAGCAAATGTTCTGATCACATCCATATAAACACGCACACGCGCGCACACACACACACACACACACACACACACACACACACACACACACCCTGAGCCATCTTTCCTTTATTGAGGTCAGGAGTTCATTTCATTTTTGTTCCAACAGAAATGATCTGTAGAAATAAGAACAGGAAAAGTCTAGAAGGATAATAAAAATGATGTGAGTTGTTCCTGAAGGTTTGGACCTCATGAGGACGTTATGGCTCCACTGAAGGGCAGGGTCGTCTCACTTTAAGGCTCAGAGTCAGGTTTAATGAATCCTTTTTTAAAAACGAAAGCACTCTGAGCTCAGCGTACATCCAGCTCCTCTTAAATAGAAAATGATGAAGTGCCGTTTTTCATCAGATAACTATGCAGACCTGCAGCTCTAATTAAAATGTGACAAAACCATCAAACCTGAGTGTGTGTTGATGCATTACCATGTAAATTAGAGCACTCTGATCAGCAGATTCACAAAGTGTGAAGTCAGACTTTACCGTTTTTCATTTTGAGTTATGGGAGGGAAATGATGCACAGAAAAGCTGCAGCACTGAACCATTTTCTCCAACCAATCTGCAGGTAAGTTACCGTAACAACAGAATGAGTGATTTTATTAGCTGATGCAGGATCAAGATTTCATTAAAAACATCATCATGGTGCCTTAACACCCTCACAGACACAAATATGTGGAGGTGACCTGAATTTATTTTAATTTTGTGGTCATAACATTGTTGAAATGAGTTACTAACTCATTGGGAAATGGGAACTCAGAGCTGGGTTTGATGTCAGAATTTCAAACATGGTGGCGTCCAGAAAACATTGTCTGCAATAACTCTTACAAACATCATTTTAAGTTTTACTTTCCATAAGCAAAAACAACTTTCAGTTTGTTCAGGTTACTGTAACAGGCGCTAAACATGTTTCCACTGTATCGTGTTGATGCGAGGAGCGGCCATGTTGAAACAGGAAGTTGGTCTTTCAAGTCATAACTTTGGTAGTGGGACTTGGAAATCCAACTTTGTATGGCGTTCCAGTTTATTTTTCCAACTGGGAAATCAGAATCCCCCAGTTCTGACTACAACTGGAATGCAACATCAGACTTTGAGTTTTATTTTGAGCTTTTCAACTCCAGTTGAAAGAGAAAAAAGAAACAAATCTCAAAGGTTAAAGGTGACTGTATTTACAATGTGTCTACAATAGCACTTTTTTGTCAAATATGTTGAAAAAAATCATTAAAAGCATGAATGAGAAAAGCAGTTTGGGGAATTAAATGTTGAAAGTAAAGATATGAACTCAATTCAAAAAGGTTTAGATGGTGAACTATGAACATGAATCATTAACCAAACTGAACTGAGTTTTAAGAACTAGTTCATGTTAAGGATGTGTAGTGATCCATCTCCTGGGTTTGTTTCTTGAACATCTTTGCTTCACATACACAGACTGTGAGCTGACGAAGATCTTAATGTCATGTCAGTCATTTAGTCTGCGGGCGGCTCCATTAACTAACCGCCCCCTATAGACACAACACCAATTAACTGGGAGAAAAACTCTCTTCATCTGGCTCTCAGTCAGCTGGTTTACATCCACAAAGTCCATTTCAGACGAGTCTGCAATTAATGCTGCCTGCGTGTCTGCTGGTGAAAGGTCACAGAGCTCAGGAGGAGTTAAAGGTAAATGAAATGTTCTTTATTTTCTGTTTATTTGCTGTCAGTCAGCTCTAGCAGCTAGAAGTCACAAATACAGTAACAGCTGCACAGACAGCAGAGCTGTAGTTCACTGAGTTTACAGTCACTTCTGATGCTGAAGGACTCAAATTTCATGCTTTCATTTCTCTACAATTAATATTACAACTTCTAGTGTTCAGTCTGATCACTCATTAACTGTATTACTGGACCTGCAGCTGGTTAACTGCTAATGACCCACATCAAACAGGCAGCAACATAGTTACTAAGTTAATACAAGGCTGGGCGATAATGTTGAAAAACGCATCATAATATAATTGCTTCATATCAGTCCGTATCAATAAGTGTTGATTAGTTTTTTGTTTTAAATGTCTAAAATACAGCCAAGCTGGAGGCGTGGCCTTTTCCGTTTTATCTACAGTTTTCACTTCACATTTTTAATTTTGAAGCAGTTATGAGGCACAGTGGTGAAACCTTAAACCGCTGCTGCGCCAGTTACTCAGCAGGTTGTTGCTAGGCAACCAGAGAATGAGAGCGTTAGCTGAGAGGTTGAGCAGCTAAAGCCCTAAATTAATGTTTAATATAATTTAATTATAAAACGTTACACTTTAAAATAAAGTAAGCCTGACAGCAAACTGACGATTCAAATAAATGAAGGCAATGATACATCACCATGGTAACAAGAGATGGATTATCCTGACTCCAACGTTAATTCCTGATGTGATTTTAAACGTTATTAAAGTAAAAAAATTCTGATTTTTTTTTATCAGACTTGTGGAGTTTCTTATTCCTCACATCCTGATGTGAAACAAGGAGAGTTTATTTTAATACTAAACATCTCTAGGAGCGATCCGGTTACTGGGAATCAACTGAGGAGTTCTGGGGTCCTGTTAGCTGGACCCCAGAATAAGTTAAACACCTGACAGCACATTGCTAAGTACGGGGGAGAATCTGTGATGCTGCGGGATTGTTTCTCTTCCAAAAAGCCTGAGAACCTCATCAGAGTGGTCAGCATCAGAAATTCTCCGGAAAACTGATCATCGCTGCAGTTTTCTGCAGGATAATGATCCAAAATGTACAACCAAACAAAAAATAATTCACTTTATTCCTTATACAGTAAATCTGAGCAACTTTTCAAAAACACATACGTAATTTAGGCCATTTTTTTTCCCTAACTTTTCTTTAAAATGTGAAAATAACAGTAAAAGTCAAAACAGCGCATTGAAGAGTTTTCCTGCCGATTACTTTTTCACTCTTTATAATAATTCTGCATTCATTCATGGCATAGCGGTTGTTTGTGTTTTTGTTTGCCTTCCTGTGTGATTGGTTGAGGATAAACAGTTTAATCCCTGAGGTTAACCTGGCGATGATGATGATGATGATGATGATGATGTAAGCAGTGGGCGGAGCCTCAGAGGTTTCCTTTCTCCCTCTGGGGAGATTAAAGGATTCCTGAATGAAGCGTGACTCGCCCTCCCTCTCTCTCCTTGTCTCCACATTATCGGTCGCTATGGCGACGGAGCGCCATAGCCGATGCGAGATCTCTGCCCTCTATATTTACTCTGTTGCCATGGTGACAGCCCAGCCGTGTGGCGAGGTTGGAGGGGAGTAAACTTCTGGGTTAATGTAGTGCCGTTTTATTATTTTGGTCTGAATCTCGCAGATGGTGGAGACACCTGAACGCACCAGCTGTGCTGCGTTCACTGCTCTCTGGAAATAACACCCAGACTTCAGCTTAACATATTAAATGATAATCTCTACTTCATTGAATAAGACATGTTCGGGTATTAAAAGGGCCACTGTTTTCTTCCCATCTAGCATCCAACAGAGGTGGGAGCTGATCTGAAGTGTTAAAAAACTGAATATTTTTAAACTTGACGGTCTTCAGGCCGACTGCAGCTTTTAATTGATGCTAATTGCTGGCATTGTCCCCAACGTGTGCCGACAAGAACAATTTTAAAATCTCACTTTATGAACCAGGAAAAATCTGACCCAAACAACCTGAATGTTACAACTAAACTTTTTGATCTGTCTGTACAAACTGTATTTTGTGTTTCCCGTTCTGAGAGAAGTGATGAAGTGTCTCATAAAGCAGCTGCTGTGTATCTCCTCTGAGCTGGGAACAGAGCTGGACAGAAGGTTAATGGGATGAGGAGGATTATTTTTACTTTTTGGACCCGTTATTCTTACTTAGAATAGGTGGAAGACGATGGATTTTACAGATGGATTTTTCACTTAGATGAGATGTTTCTGACCTGAATGGGTCTACAGCTGCAAGCGGCTAATTTTTCCTCGACAGTCTGAACGGACAAATCTGATCTTTCCACCCCCAAAAAATCTGATTCGAACTAAATCGGACATCTGATTTTTATTCAAAGCGTCTTCAGTTTGAACGGTCATGTCGTATTTTATCCAACATGCATCGTAATTCATAATAATTCTGCACCAGAAGAAGACAGACGACGTAAACAATGACTGAAAATCATGATTCTGAAACTATGAAAGCAGTTTGTGTCAAAAAGAACCAGTCTTGGTTCTGACTTCACATCCAAGCAGACTTCAGTCAAAGCTCCACAAACAGCCATTGCTAATAGTTTATCAGCTTCTTTTGTCTTGTTACAGTCTAGTGATGATCCTGTTGGCTTCCACTGTTGAATAAACTTATCCATAAACAGCTCAATTCTTTATTACTGCTGTCATCAGACCGCTGAAGTGTGCCATCTACGTTCTTCTTCTGCGCTTTAAGGTTGTAAACACAGAAGTTTGATAGCAGTCACGTTTAATTAGTAAAATGAAGGACTGAACAAAAGAAAAAAAATATTTTAGTCATTGCTAAGTCGTAGCCTTAGCAACAACTGTCTCCACAGAAGAATTGTAGTTTTTCCTGTGGTAACTTTAATGTGGCATTTGCGGCTTTCACTGCAGTCTGCTGTTCAGATCCCTGATCACGAAGGCTCAGCTCAGATTTTAAACAAACTGAGAAGTTCACTTGAAAACCTGATGTGACGCGTCTCCCATCAGCTGCTTCTTAATGACGACGAGGGTTTTTAAATGCCTCGTGTGTCTCTGAAGTCCTGAGCAGAAATAGATTTAGACGGCTGCAATCCAAAAACCGAGCCGGCAAACACTCCTGGCTCTCTGATGGAAATTAACAGCATCACTGCAGCTGTGCCTCCATTTTTATCTTCATCTTTCACATCATTCTCTTTTTACAGTCGCCTCTTTTTACATTTAATCTCTACTAATTCAGAACTGTGTACCTTTACTACAGGTGCTGTTGTTTGGATTATTGTATAAGTTTCCACTCATCTAAATGCTTTCTAACAAGTTTAAGTCAACCCAACGGTTTGTAAAGGCCAAACTCCTTATTTTGGTGCAGATTCAGAATGAAAACAGGTAACGTGAGATTTTAAGAGACAAGCTGTTGGCTGCAAACTCCACTAATAAACTTCACTTAAAAACTAAAAGCTGAAATCATTTATATATCCATGACGTCAGCATGTAGATATTAGCAGATTATAGGGTGATTTCCCTCCTCTGGCCAATTAGCAGGTTGGTGTGATACAAAATGATACGAATTTGAATATTCATGTTAACATCTCCTCCCTTCTCTCTGCCCATTTCCTGTCTGGAAACTGTCAATAAAGGTTTCTAGTACCAAAAAGACCCTAAACATAAAAGACAGAGATAAGAAAAATCTGCTTGAGAACTTTTCCTAAATTGTATCAGAGCGAAGAAAACTCAAACAAAAACCCGAAAAGTTTATTAAAAAAAAAAAAAAAAGAAATCACAAAGTGAAAGACGAAGCCATGATTACAAAAGATTAGTTACCCAGCCTCTCTTACTCAGGATTAATCCAGCTGTTGAAAACTAAACTTTCCCCTAACAGCTTCAACAAAGGCCACTCATGCTTGCTGATAGTAAAGTTGTTAGAGGTCAATGCCGCTCTAATATTTGCTGGATCTCAGAGACCCAGAGGTGTTTACCTTTGGATTGAGGACCAGCTGCTGCTCGTCGAAGTGCAGCAGCGCCACAGAGTTGGACTCGGAGTTGTTGACAAAGATCTGCAGGCAGGGATACAGCGACGTTCCCTTACAGTCGGCTCCGCACGTAAAAACACACTCAAACATCTCCTCAGGACGCAGCACAGACACCACCTGCAAAACAAGATGGATGATCAGCAGAAGCACCAATCGTTTACCATCTTCACCAAAAACAAAATGAATATATTTAGTTCTGGGAAATCACTTTGTATGTTCAAGGAAAGGAAGCTTTAATTAATGCCTTGAAATTTCTGAAAGTTTCAGAGGAGTACCCTGTAACATCCTGGGTGTGTGAAATAAAGAAATATAATGCTGTCTTATCATATCCAGTGCAACATCTGAGACACATGCAAGTGTCTTTTGTCACTGCTGACATTCACCACTGGACTTTGACGCAGCAATTAACCTTCTTTAGACTTCATCTACCAATCAATACAGGACAGTTTGTAACAGGACCAAAACCAACGACATTTTACAAAGAAGATTCACATTCTGTCATGGAAACCAGAAAACTGGAAATAACCAATCTACAGTAGAAGTTTGTGCAAAAGATGAGAGAGGAGAGGACTCTGCTACAGGAGTGATGACCTCTCATTAGCGGTCTGAAACGACAAGACGGATGAACAAACAACACACGGAGACGACGCCATCAATCTAATCTGCTTCTATAAAAGTCAGACGGTCTTCACTGAACAGGCCAAAGAGCTGCAGTAAACTCAAGTTTTCTGAGTTATGATTTATTATGTCACAGATTCGCTAATGGCACATTGGAAGAGCGCTCTACCGCATGACCAGAACCTGCACAACTCAGGGAAAAACCCTCCAAATGACGCATGAGCATCAGTCCAAGATGATGTAATAAGCTAACAGCCGAATAAATCACCTGAATAAATTCATCATCCGCAGCACACAGCATAAAGTGCAGGCGCTGGAAGCCTGTAATTCATTTCATGCATATATTCCCAAAGGCTTTGAAATGCCACAGCCTAAAGAGCAGCACAAATCCACTTTTCATCGACAACTGAAAAGATTAAAATGACTAAAACAGAAACAAAACATCTGTCTGAGGCTGACTGTTTGACTATTTTTTAAAAATACATTTAATTGTCAACACTAAAGGTCATGTTGGTCTCCTGGTACAAAACCAACCTCTTACTAATACAAGACTTAACATTTATTAGTGGCCATTGACAGAAGCTTCTTAGCATAGACAGAAAAATCCATCAAAATAAAACCATCCTGGTGCTTCTGATGATGAGAAAACAAGTAAGATCCTCTAACAACATTAGAGTTTTGTTTATCACTCAATGACATAAAGACTTTGTCTCTTCTTTACAGCCAAGTCTGACTTCTTCAAAACTTGAGTCTAAGCCAAAGTTTGAGATTTTACAGCTTAGGCCGATGCAAAGTCTTTAGTCTTTAAGGTTGGTAGATCTCCATTCCTAGTCCTTGAGATCAAGTCGCCATCTTTAACTTAAAGTAGTGGTGAGAAAACACAGACAAGTGTGTTCACAGCCATGGTTCTGAATCTTAATTAAAAGGAAAAAAATGAACTGTTTTCCTCCACAAAAATACTAATCCTGATGCTCAACATGGTTGGTTGTGTTAAGCAGCTTGTGAAACATTTCTCTGTTTTCAGTCAGTTGTCAGGGAACCACAGCACTTTACCAAAAAGAGTCTGTCTCCTTTAATCAGATTGTTTGACTTACTGCTGCCAAAACGGATGGCTGCACCGAGAGCTGAGCTCTCCAATCATACGCAAACATCAGGCAGCAAACACTTAAGTATACTTTTGGCTTTTGTCCAATTTGTGAACACATGATACTTCAAAGTATAATCTTCCACAAACGTGATGAAGATTAAAAGAGCTGCTAACCACTGTAAACACAGCGTGTAGCAATTACTGTTTCCATGGAAACCAATAGAGAAATAAATCAAGACAATGACAATAAAATGTTCATGGAATTAAAGCAAAACTGTAAAAAGACGACAGAAACAAGACAGCTAAATACTGTCTAATATAATGTATTTTTATCATTATTATACATCTTGATTTCAAGTCTATAGACCACAAAGCTGCGTCCACACAGCAGGAAAATGCAGATACAATTTCCCCCCCCCATTTTATATTTGACTTTTTCAGTGGCCGTCTGATCTTTCACCACAAAAAAAAAAAATCTGATTTGTGCCACTTTCATCTGTGATATTAAATTTCATATGTATCCAATAGTTTTCAAATCCTCTGTAGTCTGAATGATCACGTCTCATTTTATCCAACTGTTATGTCATTGATGTCAGTCAAGCGTAATAATTCGGCACCAGAAGAAGCCAGACGCGATAAATTCAGACATAAACAATGTCTGAAGCAAATCTTTGTCTTCTTATGATTTTGCGTCGATACGGTCGGCTTCCATTTCTCAACAACCTTCAAATCGATCCATAAACTGTGGCGTCCAATATTAGCTCTAGAAACAACGAGCTGCTGCGTGACATCAACGTTTGGCGATGTGAAAGGTTCGCAAAGAAGTTTGTATAATTAAATATGATCGAAATCAGTCAGAAAAATTAGTCAGATTTCAGCAATAAATTGGAATTGAACCTCAACACCTGATGTGTGAATGTAGCCAAAGTTATGCAAGTATAGATTTACACTGCAGGATTTTAAAAAAATTGAAAAAACCCAAAGCCAGTAGTCACAGTATTAAACAAAACTTGATTTTGAGAATATTGTATTTTCTTATCCAGCACTTTAATTAGAGCAGGGTTCACTCAGCAGCTGGTGTAACACTTTCTCCTCAAACAACAAAAGTGTGCTGAAGTTTCTTTATGTAGAAAAACTAGATAAACTTCAGTAGTTTGACTAACATGTGTTTTTTTCTGACATGTAACCAGACTCTGAAGTCCTAAAATGACATAAAAACTCAGAAACTGCAGATCTGGATCTAAATGGTGTAATTATCTGAGACGGTTTTAAATAGACTTAGTTTATAGAGCATTTCTGTAGCAACTGGACTGCAGGATGACTACATTTCTGTAGAGTCAATGATTCAGTTCAGTCAAGGCGTAGCCAGATGATTATACTTCAATATAATATTTACTGTAACTGGGTGTAAAACTCCCTGTGAATGGACAGTAGTATAGTAAATTAAACTGTTTTGAGCTGAATTTGATACAAACCCTATTAATTTATCATTAAACTAATTGGACTAAAATTAATGAATGTAATTAAACTGTGCAGTCAGTGAGGTTTTGACGCACCAAGCTTCCCTGGATGATGAGTGACAGCTCAGCGTTATAGATCCTGTCAGATCAGATCAAATATGTTCCACTGATCACCTTCACTTTGCATCAACTTGATCAACACTGAGCAACATCTGATCACTACAGCCTTCTTCACTGTTAGAGGAATGAACTGGTCATTACAAACAGGTTGGAATCTAAACAGTATCACACATGCTGGTCATATTAAAGCTGATGTTTTTATCTTTTATTAAAATTATATATTTTTAACATATTTGTTGAATCTATCGATGTTGTGACAGTTTGAAAAGAGACAAATAATCTGTGAAGAAAAAAATTAAATCAAGCTCCTCTGCCAACTCTCAGTGCTAAATAAAAACAACCAACCACAGCCAGAAGGCGGGGCTTAGCATTGTCAATCACCCTCCGTTTCGCACCCCCTAGATCTCTGCTATGCTGCAGCTAGCAGAGCTGATTTCCTGAAGTTCAAACCAAACATCAGAACAAATGGGGTTTAAGTGACTGAATGTGATGTATTGCTGGTACCAGATGGACGGGACAGACTGCTTCAGAAATGTCCCATCTACTGGGACTTTCACAAACAACCTCATCTGACCCTGCTGGTGTCAGAGAGCAGAGGAGAATAACCCACTTCCAACAACGAAATGGAATATCAGCCGTGAATGCACAGCATGTTACAACTCACAAAGCTGTTAGATAAAACTGGAAACTTCAGCTACAATTGAAAAAGGATCAATATAATTTGTAAAATATGTGACCGGCAAAAACATAAATGTGAACATAAATAATAAAAAATGGAAATGACTGCCAATAAAATCTGTGTGGTGCAGTTCTTAATCATTCATGGCTTTCCTTGCTACTTCTGAGCACCCTGAAGTTATCCCCAAAGTAAACCACAATAAAACACATTTAAATGTACTGTTTTATGGGTTATCGACCAAGCTTCAGAGTCTGCATCCATAACATCGTAAAATTAATGCAAATAGATGCATACTGCACCGTTAAGGGCTCCTAAACATAATTAACATACTAAATCAAACTCTTACTGGACCAGATGACTAAAAAAAAAAGTAGCAAATATATTTTATTTCAAAGTGCATTTTTGAATCTACCGAAAAAGTTTATTCAAAACTAAAATTGTATTAGTAACATAAATAACCCGCAGCGCGATTAATCGCTTTAACCGGTATATAATTTCAGCGCGGTGCGGGTTCAGTCCGCGGTTCTGACCCCACCGGAGCTCAGCGCAGCTCGCCGCCAGGCTCACCGTGCAGTTGGCCGGCTTGCTTTGCAGGCTCTGCAGCGTCGGACTGAGCCAGCAGAAGCCCAGGATGAAGAGGCTGAGAATCCCGCAGGCGATCAGGAACAAACCCAGCCGGATGCTCTTGTCCTCAGCCTCGGAGTACTCGTACGACACCCGGATCTTCGCCATGGCAGCCCCGCGGAGACCTCCGCCGGCATGGAGAGGAGGAAGCGGGGATGGGTGGCTGAAACGCGGAGGGAAGGAGGAAGATGAGAAAGAGAAGCGGCTGCTGCTCACAGCCTGAGTTTAATCAGCGGCTGCTTTCAGACTCTGAGTCCGTTTTATTTACTCTCCCTCCATCCTTCACCCCCTCACCATCTCTCCATTTTCTGTTGCATCTATTTACTGAGATTTCCATAATCTGCCCTCCTCCCATCCCCGTCCTCTCTCTCCGGCTGACTTTCACTCTGTTTGCTTCTAAAACATCACAAAAACGTTCTGACGACAACCTAGAAAAATGTTTTACTTTTATATTTTCTCAAACTTACAACTTTAACATTTGTTCAACGAAATCTTAATTCACTGGATGCATCTTTATAAATGTTAAAGTAACCAAATCAACTAGTGTATGAAGAAGATTTAAAAAAATCTTAGGTTTTAATAAAGATTTCACTCATTTATCAATGACAGAAATAAGTGCTTTTAAGCTGAAAGAGTCTGGTGATTTCCAAAACTTCCTGTTCGCTATATTGGAGGACAAACAATAGATTAATATTTTTCCCCGTCTGAGAAAATTTTTTACACAAGATACTAACAGTCTACATATCGGAGAACATGTATACTAAGTTCAGACCTAAACCATTGGTAGATTTCGGTTTAAAGCGATAAGCAATAAGAATGTTTCGGAGCAACAAAGCAAGAGCAACAACTTGACTCTGATAAAGAATCTGTGGAAAAGTAAATAAAGATGTGTGCATATGTGTGCATACATCATTACACAGGGTAAAAATAAGTTTTGACCTAATTTATTTCGGGTAAAAATCAAATAAATTGCGTTTCCCCCCAAAATTAAAACTTTTTTTTGCGCTGTATTATCTTATGAGGTGCTGAGTTATTTCCTGTCACAGAAAATAAATATTTTTATTACATTCATATTAACCACGCAGAATGATTTCTGTGTTATATTAAATATACTGCAACCAACATTAAAACACAAATACGCTGTTTAAAGTCTAACAAGAACTTAATTTACGTTAAGCTTTTATTATGAAGGCCTGGGGGAAGTTGTATTAGTTCATTTAGCTAACAGACCACAAAATAGACGCTGATGTTTAAGTATGTTGGACCAAAACTGACATCATTTAAATAAATAAGCAGACATTTAGCTACAGTGTTGAAAGCCAAAACTAGTAACAACCCAAACTATCAAACCTGAACATCCTGAACACAATAAACAAACATTTGGGGAAAAGCTAACTTACTTAGCATTAGCAGTTAGCTGCTGCAGATTGAGCTGTAGTTCCCCCTGTTTGTAGTGAAAATTGAAGCATTTTCATAACGTCTTTCTGGTCCCGATAAAAGTTCAAACCCGGCTGTTTTAAGTATTTGTTGCCGAAATATGCCCGGCCCGCTAAACTCTCTCTACCCGTTACTTCTGCTTCTGTGCTAATCAGTAGGTGCGTTTGAGGGATGATTAAAAAAACGGAATTTTTAAGAACGTGTTTAATTAATTATCGTTTTACTTTCCATTTTAAACTGTCACACTTACTGAATATTAATGCAATGTATTGACCACGGTGACCATTAAAAACATTAACTTCTTCAGGCCAGCTACAGAAGAGAACATGATTAGCTTCATAGATTATCTTTGCTTTGTCAAATCCTCAACACATTCTAGTCCTTCAAGATCTAATATCGTTTTATCCCCTTGCTCTGCTCTGATGAGACCATAATTCAACTTTTTAGCCTAAATTCAACAATGCATGCCACACTTTTAAGAGTTATTTCTATAGCAAAAGAAACAAAAAACAACAAATTTCTTTCCTCTTCACTATTTTGCTCGACTTTGTGCAGATCTGTCACATTAAATCCAAATACATGGAAGCTAGTTGTTGTTATGTGACTGATGTGGGATTTTTTTTTAAGAGGAAGAATAACTTTTGCAAAGCTTTCCCTGGTGAAGACTCTGCTGCCAGCAGTTCATGTCTGAGCTTGACCTTCTCACAGGTTCAGGTGTTGACACTTCTGGTCACATGGTGCAGCAGTGACAGTTTCTATGGTTTCACCTTCCTCTCTCTCCTCTTGTAGTGATGTTCGCTCGCTCCGGCAGCCTGATGATTCAATCCAGATCTGAGTTTTATTACGCCGCTGGCTGCTTGTTGTTCTCTCACTGTTACAAGCTGCATGAGATAAGCCTCTTAGTGGAGGAAGAGCACATCAGTCTCGCTCAGAAACACACTGGACTCTTTTACACCTCATTCTTCATAAGGGACGGCTGTGATGAGCCACGAATAAAGATGTTGTTACTTAATTTATTGAGAGCACAGAAAACAAATGTGACCTACTTCTAGTCAAAACCTGAGGTGAAAAACTATCTTTTTGTAAACCATGTTTAGAATGTGTTGTCAGCAGGTGGCGCTATAAACTACACTATTGTAACAAATATGAAAATAGGCTGCATTTAATTTCCCTCTGGGATTAATGAAGTGCTTTTGAATTTGATCTGGATTAGATGTTGTTGTTTTAAAATAGGAGTACATTGCAACATGTTCTACTTAAAGGTAAGGTAAAAATCTGGTGAAACTGAACTCAGTTGAACTCAAGAAGAGACTTCACATCAGGTGAGTGATTACTGTTCATACTTCCAGGTTGGTTTGGTCTTTTTTCTCCTTGAACAAATGAAATCATCATTTGAAAACTGCATTTTGTATTTAACTAACAAAGTTAGTTTGATGCCTTTAAACATTTAGGTGTGACAGAGTATTTCCTAACAGCACTGCAATGTTACTTTTAAAAACATTAATCTAAACCACGGAGATGATTAGTTATATTTTCTTCATTTAATTTATTTTAATTATTCCGTTTATTGATGGAAGTTTGTCTGCCTGGGTTTTATTTCCTGTGGGTTTCCCTGTGTGTGCAGTTTGAGATGCAAACAGCCACCTAAAATGTTCCTCACGGACCCAATGATCAATGAGCCGACTGAGATCCGATCGATTTCCGGTCCTTCCAGCCGGCTCCGAGGAGACCTGAGGGTGTAAAGGAATAAAAGGATCGCTCTGGGTGAGGCCGCTCTTCTGTCTGAGTCACCTTCGGTTTGTAACGACTCCTGAGTGAAAAATGTCCACCTTTTCTAAAACAAACATCACTTCTTCCAATGAGACATGAGCTGATAGTAAAACATTTGGACCTGGAGCAGCTCTGTCCAGCTGAAAGAGACTCAGAATCGTCTCAAAACTTAGACTCATGAAAAAGTTCTAGATTTTCTGCCCTTCGTTTCAGAAACAGAGTGAAATATTTCAGGTGTTTATTTCTTATTTCAACAATTCTGGCTTAAAGAGAATAAAACTCTCAATTTTTAATCCCAGAAAATTCAAATATTACTGAAAAGTCAACGCATGTTCATAGAAAGTTAAGTGGAGGGAAAAAATGCACTAATAACCAGGGCAATGGCAACCTTGAACAGAAACAAGAGTTGAAAACTGAGATGTTTGGTTTGAATCAAAACATTTTTTCAAACTTTTTATAAAAAGTTAACAAATGAGTTTCATAAATTGAATTTTTTCATGATGTCATTTTTAAAAATTTTCCAGCCGTTGATGAGACGTTCAACTGATCAGGAGGAAACGTTTAGGACGCATCTAAAAGTTGCAGGAAGGACTTGGACGCCCTGGATCCGTTTGATCTCAGTGATTGTAAACAGAAATCTGCAGGGTCCGAACAGAACCGCCTGGATCACCTTAGCAACCTCTGCTGGTGTCGTCTCTGCAAAAAGCCCGGAGCTCTGAACAGCCGAGTCAATCCACGGCGGCGGTAATCAGGGAGGCATGTGGCGGGATTATCATCATCTCTGGAGATCAAAAGATTAGAAATAATAACGGAAATCGGAGCGGGAGAACCCGGCCCACATGTCGGTGCACAGCAGAACCATCAGACAATTCAGGGACCTCAGCTTAAAGTGGAACTGGGTGTGAGCTGCACAATATTTGCTCCTTCTGTTCAGGAAAAACAGAAGCAAGCATGGCTGGAGCAGAGGAAACATTTGGCTGGAAATCCCTCCATCAACAGCGACTGACAGGCTGGAAAAATCCAAAAAGATGGAGGCGACGCTGCAGCCTGGAGCTCTGTCAGAGTGATGCAGCAGTTTGATAGCTTCAGGCTGGAGACCTTTCACCTCCACTTTTTAATGATGTACAAATCAGGGTCAAAAGTTTACTTTTTTTTCATAGATTACATAAAAAAATGTAAGATTTTATAACAAAATTTGTCATATTTCAGATATTTCCATCATTTATTTCTTTTGTTGATTTATATTTGACCCATTTTAGTTTTCTTTTGTAGGGCGTTGGACACATTTGTTCAAATTGGCTTTTAGTTAGTTTTATGTCACATGTACACCATTTTATTTTTGTAGTTTCTGACTTGTGAAAGGTGCTATAAATGTTAAATATTTACTTACTTTGACACTTTCTCAACAGGAAGCTCCACCTGGATTGTTAGAAGTTAAAGAAAAGCAGCAAAGTTTAGACATTTGATTCTTCAGAGGTTCAAACATCACCAGGAGGATTCATCAGAGGAAATAAATGCTGTCCGTCATCGAACTTCCTCCCACATCTGTTCCAGAGGTTTTTCTTGGCTCCTCTCTTCGCCTTTCTTGTCTCAGTTGTTGCCAATAATAAACAAGCTCTGCAGTGGTGGCGCCGCGATGCTGAAGTGTCTTTACAAGTCGAGTTTAACAACAACACATTTCAGCAACAAGGCAGTTAAAGAGCTTTACACCATAAAAATATAGTACAATTATGAAACAAGCAATAAACTTTAGATTTTGTTAAGTCTTCATCAAAATGATGATCGATGCTATGTTCTATCCTCCTGGTTTTAGTCAGAACTCCAGCAGCACTGTTCTGGATCTGGAAACACCTGAAAGATAAACTCATGGATGAATTTCTCTAGATCTTGATGGGATATTAATCCTGTAATACTGGAGATGTTCTTCAGGTAATAGAAGGCCAACTTTATAACTGTCTTTATGTGGCTCTGAATGTTTAGATCCAGATTTCAGGCCTAATCTCTAGTTTCTAGCTGAAATAACTGAAGCTGTATGCTGACTGTAGATTGTTTCCTCTCAGTAACTTCAGTTTTGTTTCTGTTTGTTTCTGAGTCATGGCTCAGCACACATTAATTCACAGGAACTGAAGCTTCTTGAACTCATACTGAATGATGTTTTGATTTAAACTGATTGTTATGATGCTGATGAGGAGACTTGATTCCTTCATCTGGTTGAGGATCAGTGGACTAGATCTTTACTGTTTCTGATGGGACTGTGGGAGTTTGGTGGAGCCTTTGGGGTATTTTTGGGATTATCCAGCCTTGCTAACTCAAAGCTAGCTCTGTGTGCTTGTTGGTTTCCTGCGTGGATCATGACCTAGAATGAGATCTCTCATAGAAACAGCTTTTTGTTTGGAGATGAAGGGATGAAGGCTGCTATCAGGGATGGACGTCAGCAACTACTGTGAAAATATTTAAGACAGAAGAAATGATTCGAGCATCTAAAGATGGATGTCTTGTTTCTCTGCAGGGGAAACTGACTCACTCTGCGTGAGCTAATGATGTCTGTTGTTGCTTCAATAAAAAAAAAGAAATGAGCTAATTAACTGAAGTGAAGTTTTAATTTGCTTCATTCGCCCACTCTCACACTGCTACACTTTTTTTTTTTTTAGATCAGTTTGTTGGTTGCATAACTTCTGTACAGGCAAATTATTTTTACATCGTCACGAGTTGGAGGAACAAGTTAGATTTAAAATAAATGATCAGAACTCAATATCTCATTTTCACGGTTGATTAAATCTGCCACGTTCGGCTGGTTGGTCTCAGAGTGAATTTAACAGCTGCTGTAAAGTCTGCTACGTTAAATATGTAATCCTCACACTCTGAGATCATCACTCGTTCTCTGAGCCAGAGGACGTAAACCTCAGAGTCCAGACAGAAACTTGAAGAGGTGATCTGACTGGAAACACTGGGCAGCTGCTGGGGAAGCCGACAAAGATAAATGAGGACCTCTACAGGTGGTGACATGAAACTGCAGAGACTGAGAGATTTAGTTTTATTCAAAAATTGCAAACAATATCAATTTAGTTTTAAATCCGTTTTTAGGTTTAAATTCTTGATCATAGAAATCCTTCTTAACTCATCAAACATTAATCTGCAGTAAATCAATTAACTGAAAAAAAAATCTTGATTCAACTTGGACCTTCATGTATTCAGCCAAGATGAGTTCTATTATCAAAAACTTCATAAAGTTTTCAAATAAACACAATAACAAAGTGTCCTAAACAAACCTTTTCCAGAGCATCTGATTTCCTGCTTGTTTAAATTTAATTAGGGTTATGCTGCCCTCCTGTGGACAAACACTGTCCTGCAGGAAATATTTAAAAATTACAAATAGAGCTGATAGACGAACTGTCATCAATTAATCCTGACCCACTGAAAGATAAAATAACTGATTTTAAAGTTAGGACACTGTAAAAATAAACAAACAAACAAAAATATAAAATCTTGTAACATTTGCAGATCTAAAGTCTTATTTAGCTGGACTGGAGGCAGATATGTCTCCTTGGACTGTAAAAGCTGATGGACCCAATTCAGAGGTACAACATTTATTCATCTCTTCAAAATAAGAGCCTGAATTATACCGGAGTAAAGTAGCTCAAGATATATAGATTTATTGGTTCCTGGTCTGAAACTGAATAAAAAAGCAGCAAAAGTTCAAATAAAATCTCACAGATAATCGTGAAGTCAGGAGAACTACCAAACCCGTTTAAAACATCAGAGCTGAATCTGATGGTATTTAAACAGAAAACTGAAACAAACAAATAAAATATGTTAGAAAAACTATTTCCCTCTTCATCTTGAGGAAATAAACCCAAAATAAACCCAAACTGTTGATGGATGACCAAAAGAAAAAAAAAACTGAAAATGAATGAATCAAAATGTCAGAAAACTGACACAAAATTCCAAATAACGAACAAATCTAACAGCCAACGTTACGGTTGTGAGTAAACAACCAGAAAGAATCAGTCTGGACTCGGCGTTCAGTTTCATTACCAGAATATTTATTTTATTCTTTTTTTTCCCTATTAAAACACTAGCTGCCATATTTGATAAAACAGCCAACGGCTAAGTCCTCCAATCAAATCTCCTCAGACAGGTCACATGGGTCTGTGGGCGTGTCCTTGGCTTGTTGCTTGTGGCATGACCAAGCTGTTGTCATGGCGACCGACATAACAGGAAGTCTCATATTGCATCATTCAGAGGCCGGGTCTCCTTGTTTGGGGTCAATTTGTCTTTCTGTCGTTCTGCTGCCTTGGTGTCATGAATATATATTCAGAATACACACACAGGGCACAGTGGCGCCTCCTGGAGGGAGTTTAAGGGAACTGAATGTAAAGTAAAAAAATGAAGGAGTTTGGTTTGGTTTTCTTGCAGACGGTCTGAGTTGGGTTTTTGTCTCCATCCACTAATTACAGCCAGCTGTAAATTAGCTGAGCAGGATGGCAGGTGGAAGCAGCTGCTCCGACTCCAACAACAATAAATCCGCCTCAATTAGCACCTCTAAAAAGCTGCTCTAAAAGGTAAAAATGACATGCTTCCTTCAGATGAAATGGTCCCAAACCAGGAAAACACAATCATGAAGATTTCAGCAAGAAAACCAAAAAGTCAGAGTAGCTTCTGGGGGGGAAGAGGACGAATGTAGCAGGGGAATAAAAACAGAGGAATGGAAAAACAAACATGGATGTTTGGATAAAATAGAAGAAAAGTGAAAGTAAAGGTCAGAGCTGACTGTGACCTGAAGAGAGGCTGCCGTTTCCATTTCAGCCCAGAACAATCTGAACTAAAATCTTCCTTTATAGGTAAGAGGTTTAACGCTGTTCTTTTACTGTCAACAAATGCACAAAATCACACTTGAAACAAGTTTAAAATATTCTCTAAAATCAGGTTTTTAAGCAGCTTTTATTTCTGACAAACTTCCAGACGATTCTGTTGATTTTTGGTACATTTTATCATAAAAACCAAAAAGATGTTAGCAAACAGGGAAACATCCAGAAGGGACATTAGAGCCTCCATTAATGGGTTATTGGAAGCTGATGTCTGTCCTGCATCAAAATAACTCAGTTCATTTGAAGATAAATATTATAAACATTTAAAAACTCTAAGCTTGTTTGTTTAACAGTAAAATCAGAGCAGGTTTTTACTGTCTGACATTTCTTTGGCTGTTTTTATATCAGATAAACAAAATGTTCAATAATGCTACAAAATGGCTGCTAGCTTCAGCCAACTCTGGGGCTACTCCAGCAGAAATATCTGATTATATGAAAAATGCTGTTAGTGGTCAGATTTTTAGAGAAAAGTAAAGGATTTTGATGGCTTTTTAAGAGAAACTGAATAAATTATTTTGCCCAAATCAGAATCTAGAGCCTTTAAATATTTATAAACAAGTGGATGTTTATTTTTTCCTCCATTTAAATATAAAATTTATTTTTTTATTTTCTCCTTGAAAAAGGAAAAAAAATCTTCATGATCAATATTCTTATTTATATTAAATTGAACTTTTTGTTAGTTTTATTGACTGTTTTTGCCTGTTTCTGTTTCAAACTTCTTAGGTTTTTTTTATCTATTTAAATAAAACCTTAGAAAAAACTAAGATTCGCTTTAAAACTACACACCTTCATGAAGACTTTGCTGTTTTTAAACCACAGGAGTTTTAAATGTTAGTTTTTTGGTTGTGATTTGTTGACAATAAAAAAACGTCGTTTTGATGTAAATAACTGAGTTTGCTAAACAATAAAAATAAATGCTTCAGGAAACACAAACCAACTCGTTACAGTTAAAGTGGCGCTTCTGAGTTCTCTACATAACATCAAGAAAACAGAAAAAATATATATATTTTCTCTTTTATTATGAAATAGTGCTACAATGTACATTGCATTTTGTCTCCTGATTGCCCACTGAGTGGTGATGTGTGTCCTGATCTGTAATTCTGGTAAAAATGAAAAATATTTTCAGCTTCTTCTGCACCACAGAGTGAAAAATTCTCCATCCTGACGGGCGAGTAAACCCAGTTTTCTCTGTTAAAACCTGTTTCTCCATAAAAGCTTCTTTAGAAAACAACAGTCAGTGTGTGAGTCGACCAGATGGACAATTGTTACCAGCTCTGTCTGTTTCTCTCATCAGACCAAAACAAGTCATGGAGAAGAAGCAGGAATAAACCAAAAACAGAAATGAGGTAAAAGACAAACATAAAAGAGAAAAAGGTAAAATGATGAAGTCTGTCAGAGAGGTGGGCACCGTCCTGAGTCCTTACAGGCCAGATTCATGTGAGTGGCGGAGGAGGGAAAACCTCCAGGGGCGGGACTGATGAGCCAGGAGGGCCAATGGCAGGCAGTCAGGAAGGAGGGAGAGCCAATCAGAAGGCCTGCTGGGCAGGATTGTAGTTGAAAGTGGAGGGAACATGAGGTCGCTCTTCTAGTTTGTCATATTCAAGATGAAACTCCTGAAAACAAGGAATCAAACGCTGCAGTGAGATTCACTCACTTCACTCTGAGTCAGAGTTAAAGATTAAACACTTTATGCTGCTAATGGACCATAAAATGTCCCAGAAATTAATGTGATGATGATGATGTTTTTAAAACATTTTCAATGAATATAATGATAAACACAAATAAAATGCATGTTCACCCTCTAAAAGGTAAATATCTAATTTATGCAAAACAAAAAGGGATTAGGAAGAAAACTGGCCTTCAAAAATACTAATCAACAGACTCAGAACAAAAAAAATAAGGCAAAACTGCCAGTCAGCATTTTTACAAAAACAAAACCCCCTGCAAACCAACTACTTTGTACTGTGTGACAAATTATCTTAAAGGGCAGCATCTCTTTAACCGTTAAACAAACTAAACAAATCAGCATGCAAATGGAAATTATGGATCTCATTTTAATTTATCATGCAATTAATTGATCTATTGCTTATTATGACAGGTTTAGTCATGACAGATGAACTCATGTTGATCTGAAACAGTAAAAAGGCTGAATTAGAAATCTTCAGTTTTCTGATTCACATAGGGTAATTCTGGTTAATTATGGTCGGGGGCAACTGTGGCTCTGTGGGAAGAGTGGTTGTCTTGTGATTGGAAGGTTGTCGGTTCAATTCCAGCTTCCTCCTGCCACGTGTCGATGTGCCCTTGGGCACTTAACCCCAAACTGCGTATTGGTGTATAAATGTGTTAGTGCGAATGGGTGAATGTGACTCTAGTGCAGGGCTGGGCAATCCTGGTCCTCGAGGGCCGGTGTCCTGCAACTCTTAGATGTCTCCCTGGTCCAACAGCTGAAGCACCTCTTAAGTGCAGTCAGGTTCTCCAGAGTGATGCTAATTATGTCATTATTTGACTGAGTTGTGTTGAAGTTGAGACACATCTAAAAGTTACAGGAGACCAGAATACATTTGTTTAATGCTTTATCATTTTTGCTATCTTTGAAAACATTTAGCCACTTAGCTTCCCCTAAAATCATTTTTCTGGACAAATTCCAAAGTGCAAACTTTCAGTTTAAATGGAAAAACTAAGTTCGTTATTGGATATTTAAATTATAACATCAAAATAAAATTGGCGCTCGAGGGTTGAAGTCTTTCAAACAGTTTGGTGTTTTAGCATTTGGGTGCTTTCTTCTTTTATTTCCAATTTTGACTTCCAATGATTCACTTCCTGCTAAAGAGCCCCCTGGTGGTTGAAGAAAACTCCACATATAGTGGCTTATAGTCCGGAAAATACGGTACATGAAAAAAAAATCTAAATGCTCTCTGGTATTGTTCAGGGGGCCGGACTAAATGTGGAGGTGGGCCGGATTCGGCCTGCGGGCCGTAGTTTGGGCACCACTGTGCTACACCAAGATGGTATTTAGTGGAACCATTAAAACGGAATTAGGTTTTAATAGGGAATTAAAATTTGAGAATGTTGTTGATCAGTTAAATAGCATTGAGGGGAAAAAGCAGATTTTTCATTTTTTAAATAATACTGGGAACATTATGAGAATTTGAGGTGTAGATATTA